AGTATTTTATTTATCAAGGGCATTTTATTAAAAGTAGTACCAGGTCGGGTTAGGGTGTTACAGGGAGTTTCATAGACCATTGATTACACATGTTTTTACCCCTGTTCTTGAGCTGTTTGAGATGTCGTTTCTCGCATTTTAGGCTGATTTCAGGCTAGGTTGTTCTTGTTTGTGATATTTCATATCCTAGTACATGAATGAAGGTTTGGGAACGAGTTCGGGGTCGATTGGATGAAGATTGGACATGTGGCGTGAAGCTGATGGAGCCACACGGGCACGCCTAAAACCTACACGGCCGTGTGGCACCAAATTGCACGGGCAAAGTCACACGGGTCGTGTAGGGGACCTACTATGGCCGTGTGGAAATTCCAGGGAACTCACCCGACCATCCTGGAATTCCACACGGCCATGTGGGTCGTGGCCATGTAGGAAACCTGAGTCACTTATCAAAATGCCGCGGTTTGCACAACTCACACGGGCAGCTGGAGAAGTCACACGGCCGTGTGGCCTGGCCGTGTGAGTCGGGAAATTTTGGGTTTTTAACCCAATTTGTAGCCAAAGGGAAAGAGGTTCCGAGTTTTAGAGAGAAAAAGTTATACCTAGAGAGAGAGAGTGACGAACCTGACTCTGCAAGTGTCATAGATCGAGCTCCATCACCATTGGAGCCCTGCTTGTGCTTGGAGAAGACCTGATTGAGTGTCAGAAGCAGATTATCATCCTTTACGGTATGGTTTCCGCATTTGAGCTAGATTTCCCATCTCTCTCTATGGAGTAGTTTTCTTATTCACCTGGGTATGAAGAACCCTAGATTTGTATGTTAGATCTGATTGTATGAACCCAAGTACAGATTCATGGATATGATTATGTTCAATTGAGGTTTGATTTGTTGAATGGCATGAATCCTGATCAAATTCCTGTTGTTTCTGCTTTAACATAGAAAGAGAATATCTGCCTAGGTTGATAGAGCACCCTTGATTGAAGGTAGTGAATTGGGGACTTTAGTCGAGAAGTCAATTCACTATTCTGTACCGAATTTACTTCGGTAGTGGAGGTTTGGTTCGTAGGGCCTCAATCTATTTACTCCGGTGGAGGTTAGTCGCCCGCTGGAGACTCAGATTGAGAGGGTCTGGAGACCTTTAGTCGAGACTTCAGACTGTTTAAGAACCTCCCGCAGTATAACTATCATTGAAATTGAACTTGGGGGTCGTTTGGATGGATCAATTGTAAAACGAGACAATTTGACCAATTGTTTCATTTTACAAAACGAGTCATTCAAAACGAGTCAATTCAGATTACCTGCCCCCACCCCAGACAATTGTAATTGGCTCAAAATGAGTCAATTCAGAATTCCCCAGCCCAAATTGCTTCATCCAAATTTTCTATTGCCAAACGGATCAATCTAGCACAATTGACTCAAAACGAGACAATTGTATCAGATTGATCCATTAGAATTCCTCATCCAAACGACCCCTAGGTAAATTACAATCCGGCTTAACTACAGTCTAGGGGGAACCATATCCGGGTGACCTCTCTCGACTTGAAAACAACCTTTTTACTTGTTTTGCTGGTTTGCTTGTTTGGACCTTCACTAAAAGTTCACTGCTAAATAATAAGAACTCACGGAGTAGTCATCACATCTAGGACCCGGGTTGACATTAAAACCCAAACCCGCTATACTACGCTTTAGGAGGTGGTTACACTTGGCCATTTTCTATAGTGACGGTAGGAGCGAGTCAGTAAGTCAACCATCGATTGCCTTCACCAAGAGGGCTACTTGAGTAGCCTATAATGTATCCCTTGGTTTGGCAATTGAGAGTGTGGTCTACGACCATTGTTGCATTTCCTAGCGGTTCGTGGTCACCTTGCCCATAGCAATCACTTCGATTCACATGCCATGGTAGTAGTTAGGGGGAAGCTACACCCAAGTGATCCTTCTCACAAAGATCTTTCAAAACCATTTACTTTTACTTGTTTTACTTTAATTAGCAAAATTTTCAATCAAAACGGATTTGCTAGATAATGTTTCAAACAATTGAAGTAGGGGTACACAGACCGGCCCGAATCGATATTTAAACATACTTGCCCTGTATTGCACCCTACTAAGGTTTATACTCGGACCTTAGGTGGGAGTAATTGTGATATTCGAGACGAGTCGTTGTGTCTGCTTCGTACTTCTTCCCAAGAAGGATCATCATAAATTGGCTCCCAAGACAATTCAGAGTGTCTTCCTGGGGCACAGTCATCAACGCAAAGAATATTTGTGCTATGATCCAGTTGCCATGTGTTTTTTCTTGAACACTAGATGTACTACCATGGTGAGCGCCCTTCGCCTTCTAGATCTCTGGACTTTCTTGTCTCGCTGACCATTCTTGATGCTTCCCCTCTGCATACTACCTTGTTGTCTCCCGCCGCATCCTCTCCTTCCACTGCTTCATCGTCCGGTTCTGGTGCTTCTACGGAGTCTTCATCAGGGTCCAGCTATGTAGACAACTCCTCTGCTTGGCACACCACCTCCTCTCCCTGTTCTCTGTCGTTCTCTTCGCACCAATCTTGGTCATCCTCCAGCTCGCCTACATGATTATGTTGGCTTTTCTGCAGAGTTGATTCCTATTCCGTCTCATTATCATTTTTCCAAGGGAAATCCTCTCTGGGACGCAACCATGCAAGCCGAGTTTGATACTCTAGAGGTGAATCATACGTGGGATGTTGTTCCTCGCTTTCCTGGTGCTCTGGTTATTGGCTCTTGGTGGGTTTATAATGTCAAAATGCACCCTGATGGTTCTTTGGAGCGGTGTAAGGTTAGGGTTGTTGCCCAGGGTTTCCGTCAGGAATATGAGATTAATTATGAAGAGACCTTTGCTTCGGTCGTGAAGATGCAGATTGTTCTCAGTGTTCTTGTTGTAGCTGCTCTTCGCCAGTGAGATTTGCATCAGTTTGACGTTAAGAATGCTTTCCTTCATGGGGATTTAAAGGAAACAATCTATATGGAACCTACATAAGGCTACTCTAAGGGGGCCCAGGTGTGATGTTTCATCTTAGACGTTTTCTTTATGGCTTAAAGCAGGCACCACGTCCTTGGTTCGAGAAGTTTAATGGTACTATCCTGCAGGCTGGCTTCTCCAGAGTCAGAATGATCGCTCTATGTTTATTCGTAATACAATCCATGGGATTACAGTTATGCTAATGTACGTGGATGATATGATTGTAACAGGAAGTGATAATGATGAAATTCGAGAGTTAATTGCGTCATTGCATCAGGCCGTCAATCTTAAGAAATTGGGTGCTGCTTCTTAATTTTTGCGATTGGAGATTAGGCGATCGGATTTTGGTATATTTGTTAGCCAACAAAAATACATATTTGATTTGTTGGAATCGGCAGGGATGGAGGATGGACGGGCATGTGCCACTCCCATGGAGCAGAATTTGAAATTGAACAGAGATTCAGGAGAGTTGTTAGAAGATCAGACTTTCTACAGGAGTGTGGTTGAAAGCTCTTATAGAAAGTATGATATATTTGATGGATACTCGACTAGATATAACGTATATAGTTCAGGTTGTAAGTCAGTTTATGGGAGTAGCACGGATTGCCCATCTTGATGCAGTGAATAGATTACTGTGATATCTCAAGCACACAAAGGATGTTGGTCTCTTCTTTCCTGCAAAAGGCGAGCCGATGATAGAAGTTGTTGCTGATGCTGATTATGCAGGATGTCTTGACACCAGAAGATCGACTTTTGGTTGGTGTGTACGTTTTGGCCAATCCTTTGTCTCTTGGAGATGTCGGAAGCAAGACAGAGTTTCAAAGTCCTCTGTTGAAGCAGAGTATCGATCAATGTCACAAGTTAGTTAAGAGATGGTTTGGTTACAGTGAGTCTTGCAGGAGTTGGGTGTCCAGTGCAAGATGCCTATGCGCATCTATGGTGATAATACGAGTGCAATACAAATTGTAGTCAATCCTCACTTGCACGATAGAACAAAACATATTGAGGTCCATGTTCACTACATCAGGTAGCTCGTATCTGAAAGAGTTATTCAGATCAGTCATTTGTCAACAGAAGATCAGACTGCAGATGTTTTAGCATTCAGTAGACATTGGTATCTTTTTAGCAAATTGATGTTGCGCACCCAACATCAATTTGAGGGAGGATGTTAATTATATGGGTTGTTCTGCAATTTACCCTAGGTCAAATTAGCTAGGGTAAAGCGGATACTACAAGTATCCTTGTATTACTTGTAGCTCGTTAACAAAGTAATAAGAAAACTACAGCCCGTGAGGGAGATCCTCACCATGGACTAGTGTCATACTGACGATACCACGTTAAAAAACTTTGGTGTTATTTCTCTTTTAGCTTAATTTCTTGAAAGTCCCGAGCTTCTTGATGCCGCCATTGGAGGGGAGTTCAGAGAGGGAGCTGGGGTGTTGATTGGGTTTCATCGGAGGCGGAGCTGGGTTGTTTGATTAAATTGAGGAGTTTCGATGAGAAGGGGTAGAGAGTTTGGGGAAACCTATGGCGGAGTTGGGGAATAATCCTCCATTGCCTTTTCATTTTTGTTTGTTTTTCCATCTAATTAATTATTTGTTATTATTTTTATATATTTTATTTTTATTTCTGTTAATTCACGTAGAATGGTGGGGACGAAGTTTTGCCAACTTAATATTTCCGTCAGTCCAATCACACTATTAAATATTTGGACGGAAGTTGACATTTTGTGTATTTCGAAAGTTTTGATCATAATTATAACAAAAGTAATTATTGTGACTATGAAAGTGTATTTTGCCTATTGTATTTTTACTATTGAGATAGAGAACTCAAAAAGTTAAATAATTGAAGGTGGGAAAAAAAGGTGGTTCTGGTCTGCTTTACTGTTTGTCCCAAACACCCAATCGGGAAAAAAGTGAAAAAAGAAGGAAGAATAGCACCGGCAATTAATACAGGAGGAGAGTAATTAATTAAAAAAATTTCCCGTTCAACTACTCATCCCTGCCTTGCCTTCTCACCTTCTCTAGTTTCTCTCCACCGCGGTAAACACTAAACACACGTTTCAATCTCCCCACATGCTCTGCCATCTCAGCTGACACCCACTCTCTGCGCTCTTAGTTCAAGGTCGGGTTCAGACTTCAATCGAGGTGGAATCCAGCGACGCTTCTGATTGAACAAGACGAAGAAGAAGAAGATCGAAAGCGAAATTTGGGATTTTGGGTTTCTTCTCTCTATGGACCGGAATCGAGAAAGTCGACATCTTTGTTGATGCCGGAGACGAGCAACGGCGGCGGGTGATTATACGTAATAGTAATAAGGGAGGAGCGGCGGCGGGAACCCCATCGCGAGCGAGATGCGCCGAGAGATGCTTGTCTGGGTTCATCCCAAATATTTCATTCTCTTCACTGGCATTCTAATTCTGCTCATTTTCGCCTTCTATAACTCACAAACGGTACGGTTTCTTAGCTCGACCAGTCTATTCGATCCCTAGATTGCTTCTCATTTGTTTTGTGGCAGTTAGCTTGGATCTGGTCGTGGTTGATGGGTTGTGTCAGGGTTTGGTGTGTATGTGATCTAATTTAGATGTGGGTTTCTTTTTCCTCGATTGGGAATCACTGAATCAGTGAAGTGAACGAAATTTGACTATTGGTTTTAGGTCCAGCTGAACCTTGTAGGGAGTTCCCTGTTGTGTCATTTTCCTGATCTACTCGTGCTGTGCTGATTTAGTCCATTCTGGAGATGCATATATTTGTTGAAGAGTTTTAATTGCGTTTTATGTGATGACCGAAGGCAGAAGCTAGAATTGCTTGATCAGAAATCTAGGTGTGATCCTTGTTGATTTCAACTTATGCCAGTCTCTTTGGTTATTTGTACTTTGTGGTTAGGATGTTGAACTGGAGATATGGATGCTCGTGGTTTAAGCTTGCTTGCTACTTCATTACCTAGTAATCTAGTGGTTGATGACTATATCAAGTGATTACCAGAGGAATAATCTAGGTGATAGGCTGGTGACTGAGTTTTTCGGGTGATTGAATTGGCTAGAATTCTTTGGAATTGAAGTATGCAACAGACTCGTTAAGAGGATTGATTCAATTATCACTCATTTGAGATTTGAGAGTTGGATGCTCGTTGTTTAAGCTTGCTTGCGACCTCTTTACCTAGCAATCTAGTGGTTGATGACTATCTAGTGATGACCATGGGAATAATGTAGGTGATAGGTGCTGGAGAGTGAGTTTTTGGGGTGATTGAATTGGGTAGAATTCTTTGGAATTGAAGTATGCAACAGACTCGCTAAGAAGATTGATTCAATGATCATTGTCATTTTCTAGTCAATCACCTTGTCTGAGATTTAAGAGTGGGGTCTTTTAAACGAGTTCATGCATATCCTGAGATTTGAGAGTAGACTTGCTTCTGGCCCAAGCTTGTTGTTATTTATAAGATTGTGTATGTACTCTTGCTATCTGTCCTGTTTTTTGCTAGCTTATCTCTGACGTCTAGTGACTGAAGTTCTTGTTAGTAGGTTCAGCTTTCGGGTTTAGTTTTCCTGTTTACCAGCAGTTTGTAGAACAGCTGTTTCATTGATTTGCCATGGTTTTATGTGTGGGCAGAATTTAATGACCATAGCAAGTAAACATATACTAATTTCATTTTGTCCAGTTTCCATTATCCATTGTCATCTGTAGTGTGTTCCATTGGAGGTTGTTATTTGAGTGGCAATATGAGTCCTGTCATTTATATTTAACTTTACAGTACAGTCACTACAATGTTAACCTATAACTTTGAATTGTTGTGCAGGCTCAAGAGAATAGAGATGCGGAATATGAGATCACTCATAGAGTATACTTGGATATTGATATTGAGGAGCAACGTTTAGGTACTGGTTTTTCTCCTGTAGTTTTGCAGGTCTCAAGATATTAATTTATCGCCAGAGCTACTTAATGTCACTCTCAATTTCCTTCATTTTCTACTCTTCACCTTCTATTAATTGGATTCATGCAGGTAGAATCGTTATTGGATTATATGGTCAGGTTGTACCGAAAACTGTAGGTATGTCTGTTTGTGTGCCATTGGAAGTTATTGCCTTCAAAGTATCACTGTGGTTAAATAGAAATTTCACCCAACTGTAAAAAAAAATGCTGAATTTCGGTTCTCACTTTTAAAACTAAGCCTAAAAGTGGCAATAAGTGGTCCCTTTGATCGTTCCTCCTTTGCTTTTAACTGTATGGCCTAAGTTATGGTTATCTCATGCTCAATAAATTCTCAAAGTTTGGTAGTTTGCCAGTCAATATATTGAACATCTCTGACTAGTCCATTTCGCTTGTTCTTGTTTCCTAAGCTTTGTGTTCTTTTTTCCCCTGTGTTTGCAGAAAACTTCAGGGCATTGTGTACAGGTACCAATGAGAGTTCGTACTCATCAACTTTCTTCTTTTATCCTGTTTTACAACCTCTTGTATCTGATATCACCTTCTTTCCCCATTAAAGGACTGTACTTACCCTTGTTCACTTTTAGGTGAAAAGGGCACGGGGACAAGTGGGAAGCCTCTCCACTACAAAGGAACACCATTCCATCGAATCGTTTCAGGGTTCGTGATCCAAGGTGGTGACATAGTCCATGGAGATGGGAAGGGGAGCGAATCCATCTATGGTGGTACATTTCCAGATGAGAATTTCAAAGTAAAACACTCCCATGCAGGCGTTGTGTCAATGGTAAATACAGGACCAGATTCAAATGGGTCGCAGTTTTTCATCACCACCATAAAATCCAGCTGGTAAGTAAAAAACCCTCGTCTCTCAACTCTTTGGCTCTAATGACCCTTCATCCTACCATCATTTGAAGTCTTTAAAATCGGTCGATATGTGGTTGTTTCTCTGTGGTTAGGTTGGATGGAGAGCATGTTGTGTTTGGAAGAGTAGTTCAAGGGATGGACTATGTATATGCAATTGAAGGTGGAGCTGGAACTTACAGTGGGAAACCCAGAAAGAAAGTTTTCATTGCAGACTCTGGTGAAATACCAAAAAACAAGTGGGATGAAGAAACAAGATAACCCCCACAACCAAGAAAGTCCATAAAAGCCCCCTGTTTTTTTTTTTTTTTTTTTTTTTTTTTTGTAGCTTTGTTCAAATTCATTACTTGCCTCTTTGTATCATCTGTTATCATCTTCACTAATTATTATTCATATAATCTTAAATCTGCTAGAAAAAAAGAAACCAGCCCCTCTTCTCACTTAGAAAATGTATTCCAAGCTTCATCTTTTTCTTCCCTTTTACCTTCTTCTGCCTCCCATGATTTTGGTTTTAAATATGTACTTTTGGAAAATGTGATTAATATAAACTTCCCATTTAATCTTTGCTTTGAGCACATTGTGGGGCTTTGGAAATTGGTTGTGTTAATTATCTGTTTGTGTTGGGAACGTGGGTTGTTCACATGGCAGTCCTTATTGGCAATTCCTCCAGCTAGCTTTGGTATAATTGCACATCATTTAACACTGCTAAATCTTCTTCAAGCAAGTTGACAGTTTGGTTACTTCAAGAATTCCAAATCTAAATATCGTGGCGCTGCCAGAGAACAGCACCAAAGTTGTCTCCAATTTCACTAGTCACTACATACCGTACACAAAAAGCCCAGATTGTTAACAAGATGATTTACAGTTATTAGTTTTCATATTCAATATTGTGCTGGGTAGCTAGCCGCCCTTCGCAAATTTGCCACTTCGCTTTGCCCATCCCCTAATCCGCCGCTCAGTCAACTCATCTCCCAGAGCAATACATTCTCAGTACTATCAGCAGGTTACTTCTCAGCTCCGACCACCGCCGCCATAGCCACCCGCTTTGGCGGAGTTCCAGATAAAGTTCGCATTTTTTCCCTTCTCAAGTTGTGATGGGAAGTGATACTGATGACCAAGAGAAAAGAATCGCGGCCCTTTACTACCCGCCTGCCACTTCATCATCATCTTCCCCAACTCAGCCGCTGCTCTTCAAGCCGCCGCTACACGAGCCCACCTCCTACCCTAATCCAGAATCTGACCCGACCCAGTTCCTCCAGATCTCTTACAACTCCGGTCACCGGCCGTTCAAGGACCTGCCCTTTCTCATCCTCTTTCTCCTGGTTCTTCTCTGCACTATCGGATTCGGCATCTTCTCAATCGTCCACGGAAACCCCAATTACGGCAACCTTTCATCCTTTACTTTCGACTCCCGATCGGCATCCTGCGTTCCCGCCAGCCCCAATTCAGCTTCCACAGTCGAAAGTTTCTACTATTTCCTCGTCAATTCGTTGCGCTCCAGTGGGTTCACCAGCGGGCTGATATGGGCAATCGTTATCACAGTGATTCTCACTGGACCCATCTGCTTTCTACTGCTTTTCTCTCTCAGGCATTACACCAAATACCTTGTGTACGCTTCTCTCCCCTTCTTCATCGTCATGCCGGTTTTCTTTAACATCTACTGGTTCGTTGCATGCACGGTTAGCTCGTCCTGCAGCGATGACCTACCACTTGGTTATAGAATTTTCGTCATGTCCCTCATAGTTGTGGTGATTGGGGTCCTGGTTTGGGTTCTAGTTGTGAATTGGTATCGGGTTGAGCTGACTATAAGCATAATTGGGGTTGCCGCCGATGCCCTGTACAAGAATTTGGGCTTGTTTGTGGCTCTGCCAATGTTGTCGTTTGGTTTGGTGGTGTACTATGCTCCCATTGTGGTGTTCTTAGTGTTTGCGAGGTTTAATGGCAAGATTGTGCCCAAGGAATCTAATGGGGAGTATCATTGTGGTTGGAAGGAAGATAGTTGGGTGCCTGCTTACTATACGCTGGGGGTTGTGACATTGTTGTGGTCTTCTGCAATAATGATGGAAGCTCAAGTTTATGTGATCAGTGGGACTATTGCTCAGTGGTACTTCTCTAAGAACGATTCCCCTCCAAAACGTGGCATAAGAACTTCATTGAGGTGATTTCATTCTCCTTTTGTTTTTCAACATTCAGAAAATTGCCACATCCTCTTCATGATCTCATTGATGTGTCTATAAACTCCTGTAGGAATGCGTTTGGCCCATCTTCAGGCAGCATATGTTTCTCTGGTTTAATTATGTTTATTGTTCGCATGGTGAGAGGTGCCGTTGATAGTGCTAAACGAGAAAATAGTCCGGGGGTTGTAAATCTCGTTCTCCGAACTTGTGCCAATCTATTTCTCTCTTCAATCGAATTTCTGAACAAGTTCACCATCAATTTCGTGGCAATAACTGGTGAAGCCTACTGCACTTCTGCGAGAATGACTTACGAACTCCTGAAACGTAACCTTCTCTCAGCTGTCCTGGTGGAGGTTATCTCCACTCGTATATTGGCTGGCATCACGTTCGTACTCTCAGCTGTGTATGCAATTGTGGTGAGTAGTTGATTCTCATCTGTCTGCCAGGTTTTGCAATTACGTCTCACACATTGTAATGTAAAATAAACAGCTTGCAATTTAGACAAATAACGTCAATCTGCAAAATGTCTGCATTTCTTGCCTATGCAGGTGTGTGCAATACTGAAGGGTGCTATGAGTCTCGGGACTGATGCATACTACGTCGCGATCCTTGCATGGTTGGTGCTGATTGTGGTGTTGGGCTTCTTTGTACATGTGTTAGACAACGTGATCAACACGATTTACATATGTTATGCGATAGATAGGGACAGAGGTGAAGTGTATAAGTCGGATGTTCACGAGGTTTATGTGCATTTGCCCATCAGTAGAAACCAGAGGCCGAGCTTGGCTACTGATGCAGTTGTATGAGCATAATGAACTACTGCATTATCTGCAGAGGGTTTCTTTCTAACTTTCTGTAACGTCGTTTAGTGTTTTGTTCTTCCTTGACGAGGTGAGAGTTCATGATTGCACGGACCTGTGAATATACCTTTTGGGTTGCTGCTGCTGCATTGTAAATTTTTGAAGCTTGTAAGCAAGACGGGGAAAAGATATGGATTCGAACGCGAAACAGATTACCTTTATTGTAATAAAAGAGAGCGAAAAGGGAAACGGGAAGAGAGGAACCAAAGAAGGGGAATGCTTGAGAGGGGGATGTTTCTGAACATTGTGAAGTTAACCGTTCTTTGGTTATTGACTGCATTTGAGAGGCCGAAAGGCTTCTAGTGTTTCGAATGTTATATGCAAAGTTAGTCTTTTGACTCTGTTTCTCCTTCTGCTAATATTTTAGGAGAACGTGATAATCACATACATTTTTTATGGGGGTTGGATAAAACGATTTGGATTTGGAATTTCAAATAATATATTATTTGTTTGTACTTTGTACATTAGTTACATATTATATTTAAATTTGTACCAAATTTATAGGGTGTTATTTGTGAATTTAAAATTTGAAATTTCTTGAAGCGATAGATTATACTTATATGTAAAATTTTCAAAGTTTAGGTACGGAAAAATAAATAAATAAAATATAAACGTACTAAATCATTATTGCGGTACTATTAGCTTTGCGAGAAGCAATTCATTTGTGTGTTCATTCAAGTTTGTTCCGGGCTAGAATTGTGGGTGATGTTAAGGTAATTATTGAAAAAGTTCAGGCATGTGTCATTTGGGATTGCAGTGGGGGGCAATCTATGAGGAAATCTGCAGGGTGGTGTTCCAGTATCCGATTTAGAGTATCGGTTTTTTGGCAGGCAACAATAGGACAGCCCATAGTGTGGCTAAAAATGCCCTCTCTTTGGTTCCGCTAGGTTATGGTGGTTTCGATTTTGATACTTGGCACTTTCTGGAGGTCAGCATTTTCTAATATATTGTCGTGTTGATGCAAGTGATTGCTTCGTAAAAAAAAAAAAAAAAGATTGCACCTTTGACTTTTTGAACAATGATACTAACACAGTTCACACCTCTCCAAACAATGTTCAGAACGAGGGTGTTTGATGACTGTTTGAGAGAGATCTAAGAACTAAAGCTATGATTATTACAAGGAAAATATAAAATTTGAGATGTAGTGTCAAATGTTGGTTTTGGGACCCTTTCTCCTATTTATATCCATCAGGTGTAACGGCCATGGTTATGAGTTGGTCGGTTGCTACAACCACCTCAGGATCCTCATCGTCGCCTTTATGACTAGTTGGTAAACTCCATCCTGGTGTTTACTCCCATCGTCTTGGGGACACCTTGTCCCATCTTGGTGTTTGGTTGGTGCTTGATTGCCTCAACGCCGGACATGGTTGGTGTTAAGTCTTGTCACCTTGTTCTGACGGGATGAGGTTGAAGATCTTTGCCTTGCTTACTTGACGAAGTCTCAATCACACTCTTGCCAGGCCCAATGACTCCCCACTTAGCTCATTTGTTGTCGACTTGGTACCATCTTGTTACCTAGCCTACCTCATCGACTTGATATCCTTGTCTTGCTAGCAACCTCGATGAGGCCATGTTAGCCGCCTTGACGAGATGATAACTTAACTCCTTCACTTCTAAGTACATGGCCCTTTATTTATCAGGACTCCACACTTAGTTTTAGGGAGCTCGCTTGTAACATCCCATTTCGGCTAAACTTGTATTTCGATCGCTATAAAATTTGACGATTTAAAATCAGGTATTTTGATAGTATTTCGATGAAAATCGGATTATCGATCTATCAGATAAGTATGTATATATATATAATTAATATAAAAAACAATAAGCGGTCGGGCCGTATATTATATATATATATATATATATATATATATATATATAAACCTTACCCGTCCATTAAATCCCATCATCATCATCTTTTTCCATTTTCCCTGACCGAGAGAGTTCAGAGCGAGCGGAGCAGTTCATGGGAGGGACGAGGGAAATTTCCAGAGCTCAATTCTTGAGCTTTAGTGATCAAAAAATCCCATAAGTAATGCATAATCCATCCATACATCATAGTTTATCGATTTAGAGCTTTAAAATGAGTTTTTAGTTCAGGAATTTCTTGAATTCTCAATAAGCCAAATTAGGGTTTCGGAGTATCCGGAAGCCAGATTAAGCACAGATTTCATATATGAGCTTCCTGCAGCGAGGTAATTAATCATCTAGTTCTAATCCATGAATTTCAGCAATTATTTAGGTCGGGGTCCAAATCGCTGAATTTAGCTCCGGCCAGTGTTTGATGTATTTTTATCGAGAATTTGATACGGAGCCTAGAACTAACATTGACGGGGATACTGCAGGGGATATTAGGACAATCTCGGATTTTGATTCCGGGTTTGTTTGAGAAAGTGCAGTTGGGGTACGGGAGGCTAGAACCGGTGTTTGAACGACCAGAAATGGTGAGGGAATAGCACGGCATACCAGGTTTGCCGTATTACGATAATTATATTGATGCATAGAATTGACCTAGGTGAACTAGAATGGCATGATTAGGGGTGTATGAACTTTTGTGCTATATGTTGAACCCTGGACTGCTGTCTGATATTATTGACTTGCCCTAATCGATATGGACCTTGTTTATGCTGATGGTTGCATACATGTTGCCATTTGTGGCTTAACTGTTGACATGACTTCATGGTTGTTCGATCAGGTGTTTTTGACATGATGTGATATTGTGGTTGTATTTGGATTCACAAGTGGGGGAAATAAACTTCCCAGGGTGATATTATGATGTTTTAAGGAGGATGACTTGCACGAGGGTTTATCTCGAGGAAGTGCAACTATACGACTCCTGGTTTACCTATGTTGAGCTAATTATGGTCAGGTCAGGTACATGTGCAAGTAACGAATTATGATTAAGCAAGATGAGATATGAATAATGTATAAGGATACCAAATATGAGTGTTGTGGTCTCACAGTCAACTACATAGTAATTAGGGCTCCCTATGCAATTACTCTATTATGATATGTATGATAGTCACACCTCTCATGTGGCGGTGACTAAAGATTTCTTACGAGTTATGACCACACCTAGAGCGGTGTCGAGGTATGACTACACCCATAGTGGTGTGGGGTATGTATGACCACATCCGACGGGATGTTGGGGTATGTATGACTACATCCGACGGGATGTGGGGTATATTTCCCGGGAGACTTATTAGCATGGGAGTAGCCAGGCGCCTATGATTAAAACATGATAAGATGCATATGCATAAGCCAAGGTGGTTGAGTCTTTTTTCTATTGGGATGTCGGATGGCTGAGGTTTCATCCTAGTGTTTTGGCTTGATTGTTAGATGTATGGTAGGGGTATGCTCTGTTATGAACTCACGATGCTATGATTATCTCACTCTGCTATGAGCTGACCCTCTTTTATTCTTCTTTTCTGCTTATGCTATGTGTTAGCAGATCATCAGCAACAGTGGTAGATAAGTGTTAGGTGGGAGAGGAGTTGGAGTTGAAGCCAAGACGAGATATGGTCTTCAACTATTCTGTGCTTGGACGACTACTTGGGATTTTGGTCAGTGATCCACACCTTTTTGTAAAAATGTTTTGAGAACGTTTTTCATGTGCATACTAGCTTCTGATGTAGAGTGAGATATCCACAGGTGTGGAAAGTTGATGATATGTGTATATTTGTGTAATTGTGTAAGTTTTGATGATTATGGCATGTATAAGTATGGTATGCAGTTGTGGAGTATGAAAACTATGACTATGGCTATGAAAACCAATGTATATGGTTGTGAGTATATATGTATGTCTATGAATGCATATATTCGTATAAATTATTTTGCAGGTCTAGTTGCAAGAACTGTTAGCCTATTACGCGAGTATTTCATGTCGAAAATTTTATTTTGGTAAATTTTGGTAATTAATGTAACACCCGAGATTATTTCCGCTGCAAATGCATGAAGATTATGATTAGGTAATACGTACAGGGTAGGGTGTTACAGTTTGGTATCAGAGCTCGGTTCCCTCTTTTTGTTGCTATTATGTAATATGCCCAATTGGAAGTTAAATACTTCTAAGGAGGGGAGTACCTCATAATGACTTAAACTGGGAATTGAGTTTTACATGATTATGTGTATTGGTATATTGGATGAAATTACCTACATCATGGTTTTCAAAATTGAGTTTTGAACTTATTTGTTTTCAAGTAATTATTTTGTGAAATTTTTTGTTTTAACCAAGTGAGAGATTTGGTGAAGAATGAATTTTGTGTGAATCAATCTAAGGCCAATATTTCCTTGTAGCTCGCACGGAAGTTGTCGTAATGTTCCAACTGGCCAGTCGAGAGGAGTGGGGGCGGTTGATGCAAGACCGCTAGTATTAGACTATGCAAAGATAAAGAGTTTGGGTGGTAGGGACTTCAAGGGAGATGTGAGTCCAGATGCTTTAATAGAGTGGTTGAGAGAGATGGAAGATGTGTTTGAGTATATTTATGCAAACCCATAGGAAAAAGTGCAATATGTTGTTTTTCTCCTAAAGGGGTCGCGAGGAGCTGGTGGTCCTCAGTCTCTAGAGTTAATGGTGAACCAGTTCAGTTCACCTGGAAGAGTTCCTGAAGGCCTTTAAGACAGAGTTTCTTCCCGATGCTTTTATCAAAGCAAAGAAAATGAATTCGCCAACCTTAAGCAGAAGAACATGACAGTTACTGAGTACACCATCAAGTTTGTTCGACTACTCTACTTTGAAGATGGGTTGGCGGATACTGAGCATAAGAAGAAGATGAGATACTTACATGGTCTGCGCCTAGGGCTTAAAGAAAAGATCCACAGGGTGGATGAAGTGAGCATGGCCACTATAAAAGAAGAATCACTCAAGTATGAAGCCTATGAAGTTGAGGGTCGAGAGGAACACAAGGCGAAGGAGGAAGAAAAGAAAAGGAAGATAGGAGTAAATTATTCTGCACCTCGTTATCCATCAAGGAAGGGTCCTAGCGCTTATGGGAGAACACCAAGTCAGTCTATGCCAGGAACATCATTCAGGGCACCAGTTTCCTCAGCCACACAATTTCCATTTTGTCAAGTTTGTCAGAAGAGGCATCTTGGAGAGTGTAGGAGATTTTCTGGTGTATGTTTTCACTGTGGCCAACCTGCGCACATCATGAGGGATTGTCCGCAGTCGAGAGAAGTAAGAGCTACACAGTCCGTGCCTTCAGTGCAATTTAGTAGAGCCCCATTCAAGGGTGGTTACTAGGGAGGCCATAGTGGATTTGAGAGTGGTCGTGGTGGTTCACAGGGTGGTAAAGGTGGTGGTCGAAATCAGCCATTAGGAAGTGGTACACAGGGTACCAGAGCACAGGGAGCACCGAGGGTTTATGCAATGACTCGAGGTGAGGCAGAAGTGGCACCAGAAGTTGTGACTGGTATGCTTTCTATCCTTGGC